TTCTGGGTTCAGAGATGCCCTGACCTGAGCAGGTTTGGCCCATTTCGCGTGAGACATCCTTGCAAATCTGGCCTCAGAGATGCCGCGACCTGAGGTGGCCCTGCCCATCTCGACTGAGACATCCTCGCAAGGCTCAGAGATGCCCTGTCCTGAGTTGGTCGTGCCAATTTTGCCTGAGGTATCACGGCAACTCCGGGCTCCGAGATGCCGCGCAACAGGCGGTCCAGCCGGTTTCGCATGAGACGTCTTCATAAATTTGGGCTCAGAGATAGTGCGCGAGAGGTGGTCCGACCAATTTCGCCTGAGACATCCTCCCAACTCTGGGCTCGAAGATGCTGCGCGCGAGGTGGTCTGGACAATTTCGCCTGAGACATCCTCCCGACTCTGGGCTCAGAGATGCCGCGCGCGAGGTGATCCAGCCCGTTTCGCAGTAGACATCTTCGCGCCTCTGGACTCAGAGATGCCCTGACCTGAGGTGGTCCGGCTCGTCTCGCCTGAGACATCCTTGAAACTCTTGGCTCGTCGCCTCACACATCCTCGCCAGTCTACGCTCCGAGACGCCCTGACCTGAGGTGGTCCAGCCAATTTCGATCTACGTAGACGTCCTCGCCAGGGCTCAAAGATGCCACGCGAGAAAGAGGTCCAGCCAGTTGCGCCTGAGACAAGCTCGCAACTGCAGGCTCGACGATGCTGCTCGCGAGGTGGTCCCTTGAGATATCCTCCAAACTCCTGGGGCACCCTCGCAACTCTGGGTTCGGAGGTGCTCGAACGTCGCGAACAGAATAACATGGGAGAGGAACACACATAGCGCGTGCACAACACGTGGATACTGCGATGGAAACAATGGACACTACCGCGCCGCAACAGAACCATACAAAAGATGAAGCCCAAACCATTGCACACAACAATGTTTTTGAGAATGCAGCTGGCGCTCGAGCCGGAAGCCAGCGCCGCCAGCGTCGACTTACAACACCCCGTAGTAGCGCACAGTCATCGTCAAGGGCGTGCCGAATAATCAAGCCAGGTGACGCTCCCAGAGGGGAACGATCCTCGCGAGGGGTAGTAAGTATTGGGCCAGGTCACGCTGTGCGAAAATGGTGGAGCTGACAAAGATGACGGTGATGCTGCGCATCATGGCCACAATGCTTCTGTACGACGATCGGCTGCGCTGGGTCCGCGCTGGGGCGCGACGCGGCGCGACGGCCCCGACAGCGTGACCCCATGCGAGCTTCCACAACTGACGGCGCTGGCCTGCACTTGGCCCACTGGGGCGCGACGCGACGGCGGCGGACGCGGCGCTAATGCGTGACGCTATGCGACCTACCATTTGCAATAGAACGAAACAATGTGCACAAAAACGCTGGAACCCAGACAACCCCTCCGACATGGTAGCGATAAGCCTCCCAGCATGAAATTGCGGCCACCGCTCGGGCGGGAGCACCGTTCCCAATCAGGGATGTCGCTGGCGCTCGGGTAGGAGCACCGTTCCCAACCACGGATGTGGCCAGCACTCGAGCGGCGGCACCATCCCCAACCAAGGATGTGGCCAGTCATCGGACGGGAGCACTGTTCCCAATCAGGGATGTGGCCGGCGCGCACGCGACAGCACCAATACCAGGCGAAAGCACCATTCCCAAACAGGGATGTGGCCCGCGCTCGAATTGCAGCACCACGCTCAGGCAGGCACGTGACCAGCGCTGAGGCAAGACGAGCAGCCCCAGTCAGGGATGTGGCTAGCGCTCGGACAAGAATACCGTTCCCAATCAGGGATGCGGCCAGCGCTCGAGCGGCAGCGCCATCCCCAATCAGGGGTGTGGCTGGCGCTCTGGCGAGAGTGCCATCCCAGAAAGGGATGTGGCCGGCGCGCAGGCGACAGCACCATTCCTTCGACAGAACTGTTGCCAGCGCTCAGGCGACCGCGCGCCACTCCCGATCAAGGATGCGGCCAGCGCTCAAGAGAGAGCAACATTCCGACACAGGAGCATGGCTGAACTTCCAAGTGTAGGCCGCGCTGGCTGTCTTCCTCCTCCTCCTGCTGCTCCTCCTTCTAGTCCTTCTCTCCCTAGCTCCCCCCAAACCTCCCCAGTCTTCTCCGTACTCCTCCTCCTCCTCGTCCTCCTCCTCCTCCTCCTCCTCCTCCTCCTTCTCCCCTTCCTTTGCCTCCTTGTCTCCTCTGCCCGCTTCTCCTGCGCCCTCCACAATTACTCAATATGAATACTACTCTCCCTCTTCCCCTGATGACGGTTTGAAAGTGTTAGCCCCCCCCCCCCCGCGTACTGTTTTTTACACGCAGGATTCCCCGGAGTTGGGTTTTCGCCTGCATTTGTTTCCAAATTGCTGCTCTCGCTGAGGCGCCGGCCTCATTTTCGGGCCCCGCTCGTTCCGAATCGTGCTCCCGCTGCAGCGCTGGCCTCATTTCCGTGCTTCCGCTCGTTCCGAATCGTGCTCCCGCTGCAGCGCTGGCCTCACTTCCGCGCTTCCGCTCGTTCCGACTCGTGTT